AAGCGTTACACGAAGGAAATCAGTGCTGATCTCCACTGCTCCGTCCTCTTCGAATCCAGGGTGTGATCGAATGAGATGCTATCGAGCGTATTCTTGAGCACTATCGACTGGATATATGCCTCGACGTGATTAGATATACTGATTTCCTTCGTGTAACGTTTATGAAAGTTTGTCACTACCTCTCATGTCATCGCATACGGAAATATTTTCCCGAGTTACTTCCGCTTTTTCTCGTTCTCGACTGATATCAACATGTTCTGATCAATGATGCCAATTTTTATCAGGGGTAATGCGTGTCGCTTCTTGTCGTTCACTAGAATGTTCGGTCGATTGTAATTGCAGTTCTTGGTAGAGTATTATTGGAATTTCTACGTTTTTATTCGCGACAATGTTCTGAACAGAATGGCTCCACAAGCATGGGAAAGCTTTAAGGCCATACTTTTTGAAGAGTTCTCAATGAACACATTGGAAGACTTCATTGTGTCTTCCAGTTTAATCAGGATATAGCATTTTTTCACATTGCGATACTAGGTAGTCCATCGCCTTCACATGTTCCCTACAATGCCGGGACATACTTTCTTAGCTGCAAACATATTTCTGTCTTGGAGGTGACAGTATCGCGCTTTATGCTATGGGTAATATCTCCAAATCGTAGCTACATTGATGAGTGTGAGATTAAGGCTAGCTCAATACTGCGCATTTTACTTACATAGCTTTGAATGATGAGTTTCCCTTTTTATTGAGCTACATAGAAGCGCTTTCTGGGCTGCTGATACGTTTTTGATGGAATTTCTACGAGGTTGATTTAGTCTGGAGGTAAGACAAAATAGCTTCTGATTACATGTTGTGAGCCTTTTCCTGCTTCATCGCCTTTCTGATGGCTATAAGCGACGTGTTTACAAGAATATTATGAAGTTGTACAAGCATAAGCTCACTCCTGTGTTCAACATTATGAAGTCTACGTCCTCCCGAAACGGTCAAGAACCACATTCAGAACTTTATCTGGCTAACTGCTTTGCAGAATCTCGATTCTTCGAATGATGACTTCAAGCGTAATCATCCTACTGGTTCCTGGTTGCCGTTGGCAGCATTCCCTCCTACATCTTTCACGGAGCTTTTGTCAACCTCATCTGCTTTTCCTTTGTTTTCTACTACGATTCCAGCTGCGGTTTCGCTCCGTTCATTCTCAATTTTCTTCTTTTGATATCCTGACTGCACGACCACTCAACACTCTTCTTTTTGGTTTCGAACTCTCTTTGCAACAGTTTTTTCTTTCGCTTTATTCGTGGTATGCGTGTCATTCTTTACTTTCTTCCTTTGTTTTGTCTTCGTTCCTTCAGAAGCACTGCAACATGGGGTTGCATGAGCATTGTCGTTATGATTTGTTACCTCTGTTCTTTCGTAAGAAGTCGCTTGTAATATGAAAGGTTCTCCAGAAACTTGTTCCCAGTCATTAGATAACTGATCTCTTTGAATGTCGAATGATCTGTCGTATCCATCATTGACTGTCGATACATTACATTTGTTGTTGCTACTGATCGCACTGGTATTTCGACCACATTCGCACCATGACATCGCCATAACAGATAACAGTAGAACAGAAAAAGGAATAAAAACCAGAAATTACGAGAAAATGGTCTGTATTTTTAGGATCACGCACAGTTTATCATCCACGATTACCTTAAATTTAAACTTCAGTAATAATAATAGTTATAATTAAATAGTTGTTTCTTCAATTATTATTATAACTATAATCATAGTAATTAAATTGTGGTAATTGTTAATCAAATTGTGGCAGTTGTTTATATTTGATTTAATAGAAAAGCAGTCATTCAATACACAACACATAACAGTGATAACAGTAACTGAATATATCAGAAATTAGTTTATGAAAACAAACTTAAAGTATTAAATATGAGAGAAAATTTTTGCTGTTCCAGATATAGCATTTAAATTGCAGTACACACACTGAATACCTGTTACTGGATGTTCAATCGTTACAGATGCCCACGATTAACTATCTAAGATAAAGTTTATTAGTAAAACTAAACTAAGTAGTTACTCTTTTCATTCATTCGTTATTAATCTTTCTTCTCAATTTTATTGTTTCATATTCTCATGAGCTACAAGAAAGTTACTATCAAATGAATTGAAAAAATAAACAAGCAAAACAAACATGCAGAACTGAACATCAATGAAAACAAGCAAACGAATTAAAGTCTTAGATTCAATGTTATTGTAATTTCCATCTTTAGCACCTGTTTATTTTCATTATAAAATAAGACGAAAATTTACCACTAATTTTGTTTTCTAGCAATAATTTCGTATTTAATTTAAAAAAAAATCGTATTTACTCTTTTTTTGACGAGAAAAAAATAATCATATAAAAATTTGGTATATCTTTGGCATCGTAAAAAACGAATGAAAATTTTGAAAATAAATATATGTGATGTAAAAGTAATGAATACAATGTAATGTACAAAAATACTAAATTTGTTAGAGAGTAACGAAAATTGCATATTTGAGTAATAATAAGTAGTAACGAATATGATGTAATTATCACTTGACAATATTATCATACATAATTTTCACGCACAAACACACAAATGGATGGCCAAATTAAGGAAACAACGAAATTTCCCGCAATGCATTGCATTTTATTGGCTTTTTTTGCGTTCCTCCAATTCAAATACTTATTTGTTTACTTTTTCCTTCTGAATTTTCACCTTTTCAATTTCATACGCATTGTCTATTAGCCTCTCTATTGCTTCTCTAAATTTCCAATTCAAATCATATATCATTATGCTTCTAACAGTTGCATCAAACTTCACATCCTAAAGCACTCAATCACTTATCCGTCGTTCTTATCGATTAATCTTAATTAGTTGAAGCCTTTTTTTGTACTGAAAATGTAAACGATTTTAAGTAAATCATTTTTTCATTATTCTAAATTCAAAATGCTTTGTGAGAGACAGCAATCATAAATAAGACCTATTTACAAATTTATTAATTGTAAATTCAAAAAAAAATATATATTTAATTAATGCATTACATTTTATATTACATAAAATTTACAGAATTATTGCTTCTTTTACTCATCGACTGCTAGATTGAGTTTTTCTTCTTTTTAATGCGCTTTTTTGAGTTATTATATATCTTTCTTATAAAATATAAATAATAATACGAAAAATCAAAAGATGTCTTCATTTATAAATTGATGGTTGTATTTTAAATCTGTCCCTTATCATTTGCTAAATACTTGGAGATTATAAAGAAAACCAAACTGACTGCTCGATAAATGTTAGTATGGAAGTTAAACAAAACAAATTAAACGCTTAAAAGCTTGATTTTTTAAAACAATAATAATATACCGAAAAGTACTATAACAACTATGATTACATTACAATTTTGAGTTCAGGCAAATGTGTGAATAAAAATGGAACGATCTGACGTTAGATTGCTAGCCAAGAGTTTGAGCTCAACAAGTATTTACGTTATGAAATGCATTTTTCAGCTTCAAACAAATAATGCCACTTGCAGAACGTTAATGCATACTTAATGTTATTTACTTTCATATTTATTTTAAATAATGGTGAGGACTTTGTCTTGTCGCTATTACAGTTATAAATGAAACATAGCTTTGATATTTATTATCTCAATATCATATGTAACTGAGAAGTTAATTTGTATGAAAGTACGATTGAACTTTTGTTACATAACAATACAATTTGACATTTACGTAATAATTACTTTTAGAAAAGCAATAGCAAATTGCTTTTAAATTGACATTCAAAAAATTTTAAATATTGATGAAATTTTCGTCACAAATGATGTGTATCACGTAATACTAAATCATTGTAATCTACGTTATTTTATCATAGAATTATTGATGCAACTTTTGTAACTTTGGCTTTTAATACCATTGCACTTGACTTCTAATTGCTATTTGACTTGCTATGTAAGTTAATATTAAAAATATTTGCTAATAATCGCTATTTTCTCAAAATTTTTCAAAAAGTATTTATTTTTATTTATTTTTATCAAGCAGTGCATCTGATTCTTTCGAAGCATGCTTTTTTTTTTCCTTAATTTTAGGCTATAAAAAATTAGCACTGAAAATTTCACAGTTTATTATAATAATTTCCATACCCACTTAAACATGCTTACTGATCTAATGTGGCATGCATCATCAGGTTATGGTTAACATTCGCATTTTTTTCAGTTTCGAACATTTGCATTTGACTCAGTTTTTTTTTGCATATGACTCAGTTTTATTTATTATCAACTCTTGAAAAGCTTTCCAATTCATCTACTTATCATACACTTTTCTTCCACGTATTCATATGCAGGCCAGTACCAAATGAATTGGACAGTTATAGCTTGTGTTTGTAAAGTTTTAAAACAATCATTTCTTTCTTCTTTGATACAAAATTACAATTTTTGAATATCATTCAATAAATAACTGCATTGCAATGAACTGGAATTGTCTGAACCATCAATGAAGATGAACGGTAGTTTATCATTTTAAGTTTTTTTTAGTGTCATAAATTAAAGATCAGTTAAAATTGTTATTGAAGACTATTATACAATCTAAAGATATTGCAATATGTGCAGAAATAAATCCAGTCAATGTTAAAATCTTAGAATAATATTCTGAATATAGATGAATAATATATCTTGTAACACTGATCTATTGTTATATTGTATGTTATTCATTTGTAATTTACTTTATTTTACTAGAAAACTAATACATAAATGTAGAAACCATACAAACTACACAGTAATCAACTGGAAAGTTATAGCTTTTGTATGTAAAGTTTTAATTTGCAATCATGCAATTAATACTGCAAAGATTGTAGAATGAATAAATTAAATGATAAGTATAGCATTAATTTACAAAATTGAAACAGAACACGTGTTTAAACTCATTGTTACTAATAAAGAAAAGCAAAAGGGAACTGCTTTTATCGTATATTATTAATTAGAATTCATTTAGGACAGGAATAAATCACAAAAATAAACCGTGGTAAAAAGTGATTGAAATTTTAAATACTGATTGAAATTTTTAATATCAGTTTCAAGAATGACTATCATCAAATATTTATAATATTTTAACTTGCATTTTATAATATTGCTTGTAGAATCCGTGTTATGCAATTAACAAGTTTTATAAAAGTGCTAAGTATTTGTGTTGTAATAAAGCAAATGATCAAAAATAAAATTGTGGTTCATGATAATTAAGTACAATTAATCTTTCTTAAATCTGAATTATTTCAATTTAAAACAAATAGGCATATTTGGTAAATCATTATGAGGCTTTTCAAATGTTAAATATTTCATTAAATTCATAACACTCACTTCATTTTGAAATGGTAAACGAAATATCTGTTGACGAATTATTTATTTGACAGAGTGCTGATTCTTATTTTTTTTTAATTAAAAATAGAAACAAACACGTCACGTAAATGCGAAATAACACTTCTGAAATCAATGACATGTTTATATTTTGCAATTGAATAAGCCAAAATCTTATTTTTTTGTTTAAATTCATTTAAATATACATAACAAAATAATTGTTAAATACAACAAAAAATGCAACGAAGAATGCTTATACATATACAGTATGAAGAAGCATGTAGAGTACTTCATCTGCTAGCAGCAGTTGTAATTTATTTATTTTTTCATCTTTACTGTAGCTTTACTTTTAAAAATCAATTTCAGTGCAAAAACAATTACGTATATATACTTTAAGTATAAATCTATATCTATTCTATATATATATATATACTTTAAATAAAGCATAAATAAATGGATAAATAAACGGGTCATGTAAAGAAATGAATTAAAAATGATCCTAATCAAGTCCATAAATGGATCGCTATTTTCTATTTTTAAATGCAAGCAAATATCGGTTGATAAACGAACGAACAGAGAAATGAAAAAATAAGAAAAAATTGAAAAAGAATAAAAAAATTTATGTTTTAATTTTTCAACTGGCAAATGTTTACTGCTAGTGTTTTGAGTTTTTTATTAATTTAATAAACCAAAAAGTAAGCAACTAATGATACTAATACTTACAGTAGCTATTATTCGTTTATTTGCTTATTAATTTACTTATTTATTTATTGCAATGTCATTTACTAGTGTGATATGAAAATCCGCAGATAAAACTTCATCATAGCGCATTTTTTTAAGGCGAGTTTTAGTAAAAAAGGCTTGTTTTTGAGTAGCCTTAGCATTGGACTAGGCTAGGCTTAACCTTGAGGGCAGTCTGTCAAAAGTAAGATAAAAGAAGGGAAATAAACAACAAGACAGCGACTGCATTTGCTTTCTTCATAATCAATATTTTAGCGTGAGTTTTAAGCCATAAATGTAAATTTCATTCTTAGAATGGCATTCTCTACAACCACACTAGAGATTAGCTACTCCGTCTTTAACTATCTTTTTCAATTTTTAACTATTTTCATTTTATTCCAAAATTTTCACTTTTTTTTTTTACAAATTTATACTTATTAGAACAATTTTTGCCAAATTAGTTTGTAAATTAATAAAAATAATTGATAAGCTTTGTTTATGAATAT